AGGAGTTAAAAGAATTTGAAATGTTTTTTTTTTTTTTTTTGTTATTTGGAAAGATAATAAAATAAAGAAAAAATGTGGACCTTCTTAAGGGCCAATTTTTGGTCTATTCGGTCCGACATTCGTGTACGCAGAGCACGCTCGCACACAAGTTCAAGATCCGAAACCTATTTTGATCCGTGATTTGCCCCTTATGTGCACACGTGGAGAGAGCTTTTATACTACACATGATTACACCCCTCTAATGTATAATCATATTTAAAGTAGTGATTGACTTTATCTATTTTCCTATGTGGGATAACTTTAAACTAATTTCTCTTCAACACAAAACCTCTTCCAATTCATCACTTTGAGCTCCAATATATATGATTTCGATATTCTTACGGAGAACACAAATCAATCACGATCTTCCAAAATAAACAAACGGGCACACTTAAAATTTATGCCAAAAGTCAACCATGCAATTTATTTATTTTTTCCAACACAATGCTCCCCAGCCTAACTGAAATTTTATCGTGCCATTTTATCCTTTCCGGGTGGGCAAACAACTAATTGCATTTTTGGTCGTTCATCTTTAAATCATTATATTTCGATCTTTTTATCCTCCATAATCTTCCATAGTTGATCTGTTACGAGTTCTGCAAGTTTGAAATTAAGTCCCTAAACCTGTGAATCTTCTCCTATTTTTATCTGTGAATCGACTCCAATTAATCTCCAAAGCGTCTTTTTCACACTGATTGCATCCAAGTTGGGGTTTACCTAGAATTAATATATTTTACACTAAATTAGATAGATATTCACTCAATTAGAAATAAATAATTAAGTATAGAAACATGAATAAATATATAAAATACATTATGACAACCAACAATTATACCTGATCTTCATTATTTAATTAATATTAGCTAGTGAACATTCACAATACATAGGATTTATAGATTTATATATAGACACAAGTAGTCAAGTACATAGATGTACACACAACGTGGTAGGCCACAATGCAATGGAAAATAAACGAGCACGTGCACAAGTAACGTAAACTGAAAGCTTAAAAAATGCTTATAGATCAATAGAATGTCCAAAGAATAATATCTAGACAGAAGGTGGTATGGCAGCGATTAGGTATTTTGCTTATGTAAACAATGTGTAGAGTACAGCTGAGAAAATGATAGTTAAAGAAGTAGGGCTATGATGAATTAAGATTTTCACGGCTCCTAGGCTATTGCCGGTCATGAATATTATTAAAACTTAATTTCTTTCAATATTTTTTTTTGTGACAGCTATAAGTTATACCATGTACCATTGAGTTTCGAAATAAAATAAAATAAAATAACTGAATTTAAAAGTTATATTACTTTTATGTCATGTTGAGTCATCTCATGTGATAAGTCATGAAAAATAGTACAACTTAATTAATTTAAATAATTTCTTTATCAGGAAAATAAAAAAATAAAAAATTGATGCAGTGACAAATAGATACAAAAGAATATAAGCCGATGTCAGTGTCCAATGGGTGTCCTGAGTTCGAAATGCATCCCAATAAAGCAAGTCAGGTGGCATTCCGCCGACGGAAGAAGACAAAGGACAAGGTCAAATGACACATGCTCTATTCCTATTGAACATCGAGCCCCCCGAGCTTTATATGTAATTAGATAATTTTTATAATTAAACAGACTTTAACTCTTGAATCCATTAGGTCTAAGAAAAACTCAATGTTGCATCCTTTATTTATAACTGACTCGATTACAGATCAAGTCATAGAGTAGTATCATTAAACATTACACTTGAGCCTTGAGGTCAATATTATTAAGGTAAAATATATATATATATATATTTTAATCTTTTTGTTCCAAAGAATTCTAAGGTTAGTCCATTTTCTATATGAAGATAATGTATATGTACCGATCAATTGCCATTTTAGAGAAAAATTGTATGGTTTTCGTTGTGTCACAATACCAATATAGAAAACGAATTAAAAAATGAGAGTAGTACTATTAAGATTAGTAATTCATGAAACATATCTTCCAATCTTCTATTGTAACTTTAGAGGTAAGACATAACGTCTCATTCCCTTTTACTATATATTTTTATTAATTGAAAAAGCAGGATCAATATTATATCCCCTATCTATAGAACTGAGGGAGTGAAAAACCTACATATGGGATTAAAAAGAATAACAACGAAAGGTTGATGATCAAAATATACTATTTTAAAGATTGAAACCAACTTAGGCATAGGTTCAATGTCAATGGTGCATTTTTCCGTATTGTGAATCTGATGTTTTTTGTTTGTACTTTCAAATTGGATATATATATGTAACAGGAATACAAAAACTTAGAAAAGAAAATTAAATATGTTAGTACTTTATCAACTTCTGATATTAGCTGCTACACACTATTCTGCCATTATTAGTAGTTAATTAAATAGATAGTTTAGAAGGACAAGTTTAATTTGGAAACCTATAGACTGCATAAAATAATCTAAACCTAAGGAATATTGGATTAAAGGGAATCTGGAAGAAATATTCAGCTTTTGTCCGGGAAAAAAAATCAGTTTGAGCTCGTGAGGCATTTATCAATTGACATATATGTCGAGTTTAGGGTTTAGGGTTCAATACTGAAATAAATGTGTCCCATCTTTAAAGTTTGAGATTTTTGATAAAGTAATTAATGTGGTATCTACTTGGGTGAAGATTTTTGATAAATTCATTATTTTAAATTCATTAATAAACAACCCAATTAATTAATTTTACAAAAGTCTCACACTTGTCAATTAATTAATTCTTAATATTATTCTTCTAGTTCTCGACTTTTGTGTATGACTCATTAGGTTTTCAACAATGATATCGGACTATGTGAATTATTATTTCATTCTAATTAAAATAAGATGGATTAAAAATCTCTTTTAATTTATCATTAATTCTCCTGCATTAATTAATTCATATTCATTGTCCTCGATTGACATTTAACAATGTATTAAACAATACATATGATGAAAAATATCACATGATATGACAAAACTAAATTTGTTCGTTTATCATAAAACTATAAAACTCGATCAATTACGAAATATGGAGGCGTCAATCTCGATCAATTGATCATATCTTTCGTCTCACTCTTAAGTCAATAATCGCCGAAACTTTTTTGACTTATGAGCTCATCTTTGGAAATGATTTTGATACCAACTTAAGCGAATGAAACGTAGATCATAATTTTTTACTATCTAAGAGTGAAGACCTTCATTGATCATTCACAACCTTCATTTGATTTTCGATATAATCGAATGATGTTGTATTAGCGACGCTTATCTGAGCAACATCCAATATCGAAGTATCACTATCCTCATATATGGTATTATGATGATTTCAAGTAAAATGATCAATTCTACTACCAACATTAGACAGTAACCTCTGACACTTGAATAGTTATTTACGTGGAATATCTATAGTGGATCTTCAATATTTTGTTCTCTTACCAAATCATCCGCACAATAATTTAAATGTCACTACTTTTAATTTGTGAGATCAACTATTCACTTCATAAGTGATAAATGGCACACCTGTTGGTCTATCCATAACAAGGATATTCATATCTGATTATTACTTACGATCACATATAACTTAACATTTAGTCATATGTAACTTTATATCACAATCACAACTTATGATTAACAAGTTACCAATACTTAAATCTACAAACGTTATTAATTTAATTTATCATAATAATAATTCAATTAAATAATATATTTGTCATAAATAAAATGCATTAATCAAATGAAAAGCGTTTACATTCAAAATCGATTCAACTCAGGACACAACACTTACGTGGTGAATATTAATTTTTTTAAAAAAAAAAGACCTCTATAACGTTGAAGCTCTGTAAAATACCCAAGATGCCTTGAAGTTGTCTTAAAATGAACAAAATATCCTATGAACTTTAATAGATGCCAAGCCATCCAAGTTGTTCAGGAATCTTGGCTTTCATTATTGAAATATATTAGCCTTATTCTAACCCTTTTTTTTCCCCATATATGGAGCATTATAAAGGTTGCAAACTTGCATTCCTCCAACATTTCATACACAATAAGGAAAAAAAACAAGATAACTAGTTTCAATAAAAATTCGACATGGATTCTTCAAAGGGCATACCTCCTTTCCAACAAGAAGATGAAATCCTATCATTCAATAACGATGCTGAGGAAGAAGCTAAAATTTCTAAGATAGAAAAACGGTATATTGGAGTCCGAAAGCGGCCGTGGGGGAAATTTGCAGCAGAAATAAGGGATTCAACGAGGAATGGAAAGAGGGTTTGGCTGGGAACATTTAACAGCGCAGAAGAGGCTGCATTGGCATATGACCAAGCTGCATTCGCAATGCGAGGTTCACTGGCTTCCTTCAACTTCCCCGTTGAAATCGTGAAAGAATCACTATTAAGTATAAAATACAGATGCAAGAATGGTTCATCCCCAGCTGCAACGCTAAAAGAGTCATACAAACGAAGAGGTAAATTTATGAAGAAACAAATTATTGAAGAAGATGAAGTGTTGGTGTTTGAGGACATGGGGCCTGATCTATTAGATGAGCTACTATCTAAGAGTTCAGGTAAGTGCATTCAAAACCTAGCTACCATGTCTCTTATTATATATCTTTGGGTCGATTTTATTTCATCTTGTCCAATCACTACTTCTAAAAACTAAAACGCGATTAGCGATTAAACAAATTTATTTATTTTAATTTTATTGTCATCACAAAATACCCAACACAATTTTCATAGATGTTATATATGTAGCTGTGAGACTTGATCTCAGGAATTTGTTTGCTCTATTACTTCAATAAGAGTAGGGTTACTATATTTAGTGCTAATTCTTGGCTAAGTATGTTGATAATGCTTAAAATAACATATACAAGACCGAAGTTGAAGAGTTATTTCAGGGGCAACATATTAAGGTATCGAAGTTAAATAAAGTACCTTTTGTTTCATGGGAAAAATTATTAAGATTTCTTTTTCTGCCCCCAAAACAAGATTTCATCTTCTAATTAATTGATATTAGGAACCACAGCATTGCAAGCAAACGTGCAAAAATAACAGATAGGATTATTCGAGTTAAGGATATACATTGAACTACTGCTATAATTAACATTATCATTGATTAATAATGTGAGTTAGGTCATCTCTAATTCAAAAAGAGATGTTTAGAAGAAAGAGTAAAATTCAAAACTACTTAATATAATTTCAGTGNNAAAACTACTTAATATAATTTCAGTGGAATTAACAAGAAATTTAATTCTAGAAATACACAAAAATTAAAACTTCAGTTGCAAATCGAGGTCAAACAATTTGTTCTGATCTGATTTCAATCGTGTATTTCAGCTCAATATACAGTCGACAAGATCTATTAACAAAGTAGCAAGCATAATTAATTGCAATTGCCCAAATATATGACGCAGGACAGAATAATGATTATTCTGCAGGCTACTTCTACCAACAAATTTATAGGGAAGAACACAAGATTAACGCCGAAAACACAGAGAAAACGTATTTGAAGTTTAAACAATTTTATTATATCACCAATGATCAAAATAAGTCCATAAGCCAGACTTTATAGCAAAAATTC